AAAGATTTACCAACATATTTGAATGAAATTCATTGAAAAAAATATTATTAATTAGAATTTTTGGCTTAATGGCCCAAAGATGTATTTGCTCTAGTTTCAAAAGAATAATTTTGTATTGATCATATGTTACATTTCTTTATTTTATTGCAACATAAAAATATCTATACAAGACATTTAATAAGCCTTGTTTATTTTTTTTGAGACAATATATAACATTAGATACAAATTCTAATAAAGACATGTTCTAATATGCTTAAAACAAATTTAAAACATATCTTACTATGAAATACTTAAGATTCTTGTAATTAGTATAAATTTTGATGGAATAAAAAGTAATTTTTAGGCAATGATGCTATTCTTAGAGTAGATCCTAAATAAAAAAAATTTCCTTATTATAAATATCATGATTAATCTCCATTCTTGAAAAAATTCTTGAATGAAAACTAATAGGAAAAAGTTTATCATTTGTATCTATTTTTGATAGAATTGTATCTAATATAAAGTTTGATTTATATTTTTAATTAAAATATGGCTTTATAAAATCTAATTGATATAAAATAGAAATTTTTAAAATTCTATTTTTAAACTTTGAAATATTACTTATGCATCTATAATCATTCTAAATTTTTTTTGAGAGTTGAATGAATAAATAGAGCTGCAAATTAAAAGAAGTTCTTGCAAAAAATTCAAAAATAGTTTATAAATCCTAAAAAATATTAGACATCTTGTGCAATTTTTAGATTTTTTTAATCTAAAATAATTTATATCTTCTTAAAATCTATTTGTAAAGTGTCATTTAAAAATAATATATTTCAAAAATTCTACTTAAATTATGTAAAAGAAATATTTTTTCATCTTGGTATATAAATCAACATATCTAATTTTTTATTGTAAAAATCAAAGATATTCATTATGTTCTTTTATATTTTTAGAATATATAAGAATTTTGATAAAATAATATAAGATAAATTTATCTAAATATTTATAAATTACATTGTTTATCAAATGTTAAAAGAAATTTGAACATTTATAAATCTAAAAGCCATGATATTATATTTAAAATGACCATATATAGTCTAAAATGCAATCTTCTACTCATCCCTTTTTCTAATACATATCAACTTATAAGCTCTTCTTAAATCTATTTTAGTATAAACCTTAGTTTCATTTAATTGATCAAAGAATTTTAATATTTAAGATAAACATAACAATTATTAATGGTTAATTTTTTAAATCCACAATAATCTATAGATATTTGTAAGGTTTCAATATTTTTTTTCATAAAGAAGATTGATATACATGCAAGAGATTTTGAATTTTGGATAAAATTCTTTGCAAATTTTTTTTATCAATGTATACTTTTAAAGCAAAAAGTTGTAAATTGGTCCAAATGGTGGTTGAATTCTTTGTTGAAGATCAATTGTACAATTATAAGATTGATATTTTAGCAATATATTAATAATTTTCTTCTCAAATATATCTTAAAATTCTTTATAGTACTCTTAGATTCTATTGAAACTCTTACTTGAATGAAAAATTAATACTATAAAAATTAAAAATATATTTTCATATTGCACAATTTGTATAAACGTCTTATTTTCTATAAATTAAGATGGAGAGATTTTTTGTTGTTCAAACTATATTTTAAAGAGACTTTTTATAATTTCCAATCAATATTAAAATTATATACTTCAAACCAAGGAAGACCAAATACCATTAGATTTGAAAGACATTAAATAATGTTAAAGAAAATATCAAATACTTATTCTTCTAATATCAATTTTAATAGTTTAATCTCTTTTATAATGTCTTCAAATACAAGTGATTTTCTATCAATAACTTCTACTGGAGCTAGTTGGATCTTTTTTAAAAGTATCTATTCTTGTTATAATGTAAATTTGTAATCCATAAAATCATTATATTACATTACATTACAACAAGAATCAATACTTTTAAAGAATTGGATAATTTTTATTGTAGTACAATGTCCAAAAGTGCTTGAGCTAAAAATTTATATTTTGAAGTTGTAATAACTATAAGAAGTTTAAGATAAGATGTAGAATTTGGTAGTAGTATGAGACCTTTATTTGATGGTTTAAAATTATCCAATTGCAAGGTCCCTATTACAATTGGGTATCTTTATTTTTTGACTTTTTAATTTTTAAATTTACATTCCTTGCTTTAAATCCTATTAATTTGATGTTTTAGTCTTATATCTTATGTCTATATTTTACAATATAAACACGAGTTTTCAAAAGGGTGTTTTTATTATTATTTTGGCATCAATTATTTCAATTAAATTCTATTAATTTGAATATATTTTGACCTTATTGAATAATTGTTTTTTCATAACTTGATTTTTTCCTCTCCAATCAAATCTTTATTCTAAGAACCTTTCAAAGAGTTGATTGTTACATGCATTAAATGGCTTAAGTATCAAATTATTCTAATGAAAATTTTTTTGTATTATTAATAATAAATATATAATATTAACTTTTAGTCTATTTCAAAATTAATTGATAAAAGTTTTATTATTCTAAATTATATTATAAGCAAGGTTGTCATATTTAAATTATAGATGATAAACATAGATAATAGTTAATAGTTTAACATAGATGATAGTTGATTGTGATCTTTGTTTTAAAGATTGGAATTTTTTTATATTACATCTTTTCAATTACTCTCTCTAAATGTGGTTTTAAACACTTACATGAACAAAATTATATCATATAAGAATCATGAATCATTTTCCATCAAAGATGCAAAGCAAGAGAAAGTAATCTTAAATAGAAGTGTAGTACAAATTCTACTTAAATAAATCCATTAAAATATTAAAAATATATGTGACCTTAACTAGATCTTAACTTATTATAAAAATCCTCAAAATTTTGCTCTTGTTCCATTAAACTTCTCCAACATACTAATCTTTGCCTCTTTCATTCTCATAGTTGTAAGACTTTTTGGATTTATTTATAAAGTTCATATAATTGCTTCTCTCAATCGCACAACTTCTTAGCATAGACATTGTATCTTATTATTGAGTTCTTTTGTATGCAAAGAAATAGTACTTTTATAATTGACATTGCTAATACATAAATAGGTAGTCTTTTACTTTTAAAACACAATAATAAGAAGTAGAGTAATCCACTTACTTTTTAAATAATAAAAAATAAATTAAATTATAACTCTTATCAAATTATCAAAGATATAAACCAAAAAAAAAATCTAAAAATAAAAATATACTCTTATATTACTAAAATATATTATAGTAGATATGACTATTCATCATAACTAATGTCATCATAGTTTTTTTCATTTCCACCATAACTCTCTATCTACTACATGTCATGCACACTTTTTTTCAATGATAAATAAATAAAATATTTTTTAAATATTAATATTATTTTTATTAAAAATATCAATAAAACTTTATTTTCATGTGATTCTTAATTTTTTATTAAATTTAAATTTATTTTTATATAATAGAAATATTATTAAAATTATTTATTTTTTTATTCATTTATTAAAATTTAGTAGTAATAAAAAAATGGTAGAATTTAGTAGTAATAAAAAAATAACAGAATTAGTAATATTCTTTTTTTGCTAAAAATCGTTTATTTAAATTAAATACTAAGCATCTATTAAACTAATATAATTTATATTTATTCTTGTCAATAATAATTTTAAGAATGATACTAATATTTAATTTATGAATGGTAGCTCTATTTTAAATCTTCTATCATTTTGGCTTTTGGCTTATTGGTGTTAATATATAAGCAAATAATATTGTTTTGTATTTGAAACCAAGTATTTATGACCTTATTTTTTGGTTTAGAGTGTCACAATTAAAAATACTCTAAATCCAAAAAAAAATTAATTTGTTTGTCTCAAATCTTTTTTTTTATTAAATTTATTTATTTAATTTTCTACAAACTTTTATTGATGTTTTAATTTTTTAAGAAAATTTATAAGAGATCTAATTTATGTATTTATTATAGTTTTTGTGATTTTAATAAGATGCATGCATTGGTGTACGATCATCTTTCATCTCACCACTTTTATTCAAGTGAATTTTCATAACTATAATGCATTTGCATTGTTTAAGTCTTTAAAAAAAATCCCTTTCTATTAAAAGATTATGCTGTTATAAATAAATAAGTCTCTAGTAAATACAATTCTAGCAACAAGAAAAACAGCATTTGCAATAAAGATATAAGCTTTCACTTTTAGAAACATTCTTATAAAAAGATAAGAGATATTTGCATTGAAAAAAGTCTCCATATTAAGTAAAAGATTTTTAATATTGATACAAGAGTATATAGGAAGTAGTATCATATCTAGTTATGGTGCTACAATGTCAATATTAGAGGGTTTACTTTTGAATACTTCTTGGTGAAATTGATCTTTTAAAGATTTGGTTATATAAACTTTTTACACCCATGCTATGTTTTCTACAAGTCTCTACAAAATGTGAGTGTTGTTTTGCATATTAGAAAGATGTAACTAGAGGAATTAATTTTCTTGATTTAAAAAACAAAAAAAAATTGAAATTATTATTATTTTAAAAAATAAAATGCTTCAAAATTTCACAAAGATATTTTATAGATTAAAATAAATATGATTTTCAAATGTTATGATTGGAAACCATCCATGCACAATCTGGAAAATTGTGAAATTAGTCAAATGATAGAATAGGACACATAAGCAAATTTTGGGTTTACTAGGTAACAACTAACATTGAAAGCGTCCGTTATTCTGCAGCTATCCTGTGTTCATGTCTGCGTTATCCTTAATATGGAGACTTTTTTCATTTCCTCGCATGGAAATGCTATTGCTATGTGGCTACGCTTGCCGTTCTCATTCCACCAAAAAGCAGGCTGCGAATAAATACCCCTGGTTGGGCGACTGACTGAACACAATCTGTCAGACTTGTAGAAATCATTGCAGGGAAACTAGTTGAATCAGAATCATAATTGGAGGTAGGAGGAAGGACTGTGCAATTGATAAAGGAGCCTGATGGTAAGTACTAATTATAATCAACTGTTGCAGCATGTACATGCGTAGGCGTTGTGCACAACCCTCGCTCGCCAAACCACAGTAATGTCTACATCTGGACCCCGATTTCGGCCACTGCATACTAGCAATGCTGATACTACGCAACAGCAATGGGCCGTAAACTATGTCATACATGAGAACAGAAACGACTATGCTGAAACGCGTACGAATGTGTGACAAACAGTGGATACCAAAAAGAGAAATTATTTACACCTACTTATATACATTCTGTGAGAAATGCCGCCGTATGGTGCACTTCGAACGTTCATTCAACATTCGGAACCTCGTAGCGCCAAACCGCCTTTCTCTCTCTTGCCAACGCTTCTCGAAACCGCCCAATCACTGGGAAGTTCAGTATGTACAGTAGACCATTCGAGGGATTTCTCCTCGTGGATCAAAACCTGAGGTTCTTCTGGAACAATGGCATCCTACAGAGAAATCAGTTGATGTATTTATACGGCAAATACGAATCGCTCATGCCTAGTGATGGTTCTGCATTACTATCAAAATCTTGTGAATCTTGTGAATCCTTCGACATGTAATGCTTCTCTTTTGGGTTGGAGTAATACTTTGGGTGATCCCCGGAATTTCTGTAGGCACTTCGATTGGTATATCCACCAGAGGGAACTCCCTTCTCCCGGCTTGGAGTATCCTCTATAGAATTGTACAGGTTGGCTGTGAGAGCACCCTCCCACACCATAACATGTAGACGAATGGACTGACCTGTCTGCCGGTGCAGCGAGAGTTTGTTTGACAATGAGATGGTGTCATAACAACGTATAGAACCAGAAGATGCGACTAGCCAGGGCGTAATCTTATCTCCTCCCAGCCGGGAGATAACAAGCAGCTTTCCTGCTGCACAAGCGGCTTGGTACACGGTCTGCAGCCCTGCCCTATCAGCCACCGTGCCTGGATCTACGGAAGAGACATGGCAAAATCCCTACAAAAGAAAACGAATTACCCCGTGTGAGTCTTCAGCGTTGCATCAGAAACAATTCATCTAGGTTATGACTACTCCAGCTCCCTGCCTAAAGATGCGCAATCATCTGCGTCAAGTTTTTGTGCTCAAGGTGATAACAAACTACTGGTTGTATACAGTGCCCCAAAGCATCACAATAAGATCTACCTCCTCTGTGCAGCTGATGCCAACACCCAAGCGAGATTCATTCTCTTCAGGTTTCAGGTCGATCGCAAGCTCAGCAGCCGCAGGCGAATACCATAATCGCACTGCCCTCACAACGTCCACATCCATGGCTTCTCTATCCTGAACGTACATTGTCTAAGTAAGGACAGGATAGTGGATGACAAAACCCTCCGAAAGCATCAGCAGCTGTCCAACTGATCTAGTGTGTCTAAATTCTGATGCGAGGATAACGAATTATCCGTCAGGGCTGCACACAACCCGATCGTCTAGAGTGTGCCAGCAACTCCAGCTGAGAAGGTAGCAGATTCAGAACTCAACTATGTGGACAAGACATCAGAAGGTAAACTTTGCTTAAAGTTCCAGCGGTTCCTTTTCCCCAGTCCTAGCTCTATGCAACTAGTGGCGGCATCAGCTACGAAACCGGATATCATTTCTGTGACAAAGTCGTAAAATATTGACCGTAGAGCAAGCAGTCTACGAGAATCGCTCCAAGCTGACCAAACATACACCAATTTCTACGCGATTGTTGTTGAGTTCTTAAAGACACAGCACCATTATCGAACACTACGTATGATCAATTATAAGGACATAGAGTCCGTCATTACAACAACTGATAAGACGAGACTAATATCTCTCGTAATTCCTCAAATGCCTGGAGGAAACTTAAATGTGAAATACGAAAGAGGACTAAACCCCGTGAAACAGAGGACCTGGCTTACCTGAATTCTGTAACATCCAGTGTTGCCAATAACCGCCGGATCCTGCCTGTAGCCAGGCACTTGATAATCTGCAAACTGCATATCAATGATATCACATGATCAAGATGGGTACGTATGAATGGCTTCATAAGAGAAGACACATGCAGTGATTATGTACAGTATAGGATACTCTCTGACGGAGAAAAACCAGAGAGTGATAAAAAGTCGATCGCCGCATGACAAAAATAACCGACAACCAATTGCATAGTCGAAAGCCAGCTGAGAGACAGCTCAGTTCTATGAGCGTATTTCAAGTGAATATGTATTGTTCTTTAGAGCTGCGGTAGGGACCATCAAATATGAGAACTACCAGGATTTTCACCCAGAAACTAAAGTTGAAGAGCCAGTGCCCTGTACGCGTTAAGATTGACCACTTACTTGCATGAAAATAGGTTCTGTCTGAATATTGACGAAGGTAATTGGCACCCCAGAAGCCTGAGCAGCAGACAACCATGCAACCGCTCGGGCTGATGTTTGCTCAACACCAGCGACATCGCGAGCCTTTGGTGACAGAGTGGGTGGCATGAGGAGTAGGGAAAACACCATTGCAGAGCCAGAAACAGGTAGGAAAGTCAACATCTTCTGCTCCCAAGGATAAGAAACATAGCTGTCTTTCAACTTCATACTACTCAGTTTCAACAGAAGCTCATCTTTCTTGGAAAAGTCCTTGAGCATCCTGGATGCTTCCATAATCTTTCGACTTTTATCTGCGCACAAAACCCACCAGCATTCAAGTGAAAATGAGAACCTTGCAGAGCCGACACTACCGAGTATGCAGGCAATTCTCGAGGTTAATAGACTGTAACGAGCTCGATTAACATTGCTCTATTGATTTGTCTGTGGGCAATGCATGAGCGGGTGAGCACCTTGCAGAACCAAGCAGTCTTGTTCCATAGCATCCACCAATGTTGCTACGTAACCGGTATCAGTTGAGCAGGCTAATACATAAGTCTTCTTCAGCAGAGAACTCTCATCCACTGCGACCTTGGCTCGAACCTCAATTATTGATGGACCTCTCTTGACCTTGACCCTAACTCCCCCTGATGCATTATATAGTTTCTTCAGTTCACGTAAAAGGCCTGACTTTCCGCCGGAAAATGGAGCTACAAGCATAACTCCACTCTCGCTGCTGACCTGCAAAAGAATTTTGCAAGATAAGAAGCATCTCATGAACACTACGTAGAGCATTTTTTTGATGTCAAACTCGGAAACCAGCCTTGCAATCAATTGAACTAGTGCTGTGAGACCCTGACAGGCTTTAAAAAGATAGGCCTATCAGAAGATGCGGCACACAACTCTTGGTTTTCTCCAATCTCATCAAAATTAGGTCGGTGCAATAAAGAATGTCCATCATGGTTCGGTCTTCAACTGGATTCGCTCCTTGAAGACTGGACTTCGCATCTATTACATTCACTAAACCTTTATCACTAGAACTTCTAACTCAAAATATATTGTGAACGTTCAGATGACCCATCACAGTTGTGACATGATAAGATAATCTTGAAAGAAAAATCATATTTTATGATGGTTATCCCCGACACTTGAAAAGCCTCTATCAAAAGAAAACTACCTGAGTACATTGAGATGTTCTATAACGAACGAATAGCTCAAGTTAAGCCCGTAATAAGAAGGAACCAACCAAGCGTAGATTTTGCGTTCAGGCTACTGAACCTAATTCGCACAGACCAGTCGCGCTCAACGCAGAAGGAAAACATCCGAGAAAATCTCCCACGGCAAGTACTCGAAGGCATTTCCCCGGAATCGATCAGTTATTTCCTGTGTGGAACATATTTTGATGGCATACGGCATATTTCACGTAGCGCGTAATTCAAGCAGACTGACTGAGATTGGGCCAGGAGGAGATTCTTATCAAGTAGTCTCCCACTATCATGTAAATCCAGCTGCAGAGCTTGAACAACGTTTTTAAACCGATGTGAACGCAATGTGATAGACTATCATGTGCTAGACCTGGCAAAACCGCGCTTCTCAAGGTTGTGAGACTCGTTTCCTGGCCCGACTCCCATCACTCTAAAATATTACGGCTATCCAACTTGAAGAGTAGGTTCGATGAATTTTCATGAACGCGAAACAGCAAGGCGTTAGACCGAGGCACAAACCACTTGCGGCTTACAAGTTTTTAATTAAATACTGGAAAAACTAAGTTAGTTTGTAAACTTTCTATTACACCGGCCATTTCGGAGTCCGAGGCGAGCCCAAGCGGTTGTTGATTAATCAGGTTCATACACTCACAGCTCAATCGACCATTAAAATCGTGTGCATTCCAATCGAACAAGGTCTGATCAAGCAATAACATCTGCAGATGATCCCGGGAGTACCAATCACTTACCTGAAGCACAACGTCTCCTCCCAAGAGCTTGCCCTCCGACCACGACTCTGCTTGCGTGGATCCCGATAACTTAACGGCTACCACAGGACTATTACCACCCCCTGCCATCTGACTCCGAACAAATCGAACGCTAAAATATATGATACTGCGGCTTTACAAATCGAAGGCAGAGGATTTTACAACCCTTGGAAACGCAACTAACTCGCCGCTCGTGCACTACGTTTGGATCCTGCTCAGATTCGCTCCTGCTCCCACTTAAATGCTCACAATCCAGCCCCCCGAGTCAATCAAAAATCTTCCAAATACTTTTCACACTCCCGGCCTCTACAAACCACGCCACTGTGTACATGTATATACTCGCTCCACTTCCTCGGTGTCGGACACAACCGCAAAAATGGTTAATAATTCGACCAGCGTCCAGGACCGCCCGACCGTCACTCACTCTCTCTCTCTCTCTCTCTCTCTCTCTCCGTTTTCTATCCCTCAACCAATGCTCCGACAACCAAACGGAGTGCAGAAAGACAGCACAAAACAACTGGGGCACCACCGCGCACAACAACACTCCCCTCGTGATCTACTCATTTGCAATGCCCGCACGACCAATGTCACCGCCCGTGGCTTCGTTACGCTCACACTCGCCACTTTCATCAACTGACAGCCAAAGCGAAGTCACGCCCCGAGTGACAATGCAGAAGCGACAGCGCTGACACACGAAAAAATGACCGACTGATCGATTGATCGCTGGAGCGCAAACCTCGCTCTTATAGACCCGCGGTGCAAAATGAGGAAGACCACGCTGCCGGTGATGGGGGGACGGACGAGCTCTCCCCCTCTCTCGCTCTTGAACCCTCGGTCCACGGAAAACGGTTCTCTCGCCCCCTTCGACCGTGCTAACAAATTCCCCAATTCGCTTCATTCGAATCCGCGGTCGTAGGAAAAGGAATGAGGGCTCCCCCACTTCTCATCCTTCATCCTACGAGGAGATATTCATCCATTTCCCTTGGTGAACGTGATCCGCAATTTCGCGGAGGGAGGGTGATCTGGATGAATGTTACATTTTAAGCTTGGAACTGCGTAGTTTTCTGGTCATCCACTTGTAGCCCGTTTCCTTTGCCTTTTTATTCAGGTGACGCCTTCCCACATATTTGGAGGCTTGACCCAAGGGACTCACTTACCTTTTCCTTCACAAAAGAAGGAGATTAATGAAAGAAAAGGAAATAAACAACAAAAACAAAAAAATATAAATAAAAAAGCAACCTTAGCTGATTCTCTCATCTTTATTGACCTTTTCCTTTCATAAAATATTCCGTGCTTCGTATTAACTTCACTATGGAATCTTGACCCCCTTTTTTCCATTTTGTTATTATTTTACTTTGTGTTTTCATTTCGTAAATGATATCTTATTTTGGTGGGTGGAATTCAAGAGGAGGCCTAAGAGCTACTTCCGTTAGGGGCTACATTCATCCTATATGAGGATGAATGTCATACGTTCATCCAACGGAGGGATTCAAGACCTGCCCTCAGGTGAACCACGTGGCCTCCATTGGATCTTGTGATAGTGCCTACAATCAACTTTATATAGAAGTATGAGTAAAGAAAAAAAATGAAGAATTCGAGGTAGTGTTCTGTTACAAAAATATATAAGAAGCTGGAATATTTTACATGGTAATTATCTTTAAAAAATAAATAAAATAAATGTGTTTTTTGATTATGTCATATGATGTTCTTAATAAATGTACAATTTTTATATAAGTGGAATAAGAAGTGATTACAAGTGTATACATGTAGTAATATATATAATATTATATTGATTGTTTACAACATATTAAAAAACTGTGGATTTGTAATTTAAGAATGCAAAGTGGATGTTTGCTGAAAAAGTTTGATTTGTTTTGTCTCTTGTCATAAAAGTAATGGACTAACGTGCACTTAAGATCATTGAACTTCTTTCTTGGCAACAATTCAATCACTGTGTTTTTATTCATGTGAATACTCTTGATATTTTTTGATAGTTCCACATAAGAAAATAATGAAAAAAGTAGAAGGGATATGTCATGTTCCCTTTGAAATTTGAGAGACTAAAATGATGTGCTGTAAACTGCACCATCTTCTAGTGAGCGTCTTTTTTTCTTTTTTAATTTCTACTTTGAACAAATAGATATATATATATATATATATATATATATTTATATTTATATTACAGAATTTCTAAAATAATAATATTAAACTTGAAGCAGTTGCAGGTCAACCTAAGTATTTTGGTACAATACAATTAGAACATAACCACAAAAAATAAGATGTATTCCCATGTCTCAATGGTAAAGTACAAAAATGGTTTATTGGGCTCATTATAAAAGAAATAATTAATCGTGTTTCAACAATTGTGCATGTGCAGAAAGATATATATATATATATATATGCATATGCATATACTCAAAAGAGGAAAGGTAAATGACAGGTCTCATACATTCCCCAGGTCCATGCAAGTGTAAAGTTTCATGGAAGGAATCAGAGTAATGAAATTTATATTTTAAGTTGAAAAAAAGTATGAAATATAAAATTATATTCTCTTTTTAATATTAGTAGTGAAATGATGCATTAAAAACTTTGCCACATGAAATTTGTTTCTAGATACATGGGCTGCTGGGGTTCACTCAATATTAACATGCAACACAAAATAGTTCTTGGGTGCAAGTTGAGTTTCAATGGATTCAAAAATAAAATTTAATGGTTTTGACTTATATTTGTTATATATAAAAGATTTGTTAATGTCATCATAGTTTTTGCTATTGTCACAACAGCTCACCAATCACATTTAAGGAATACTCACATTTTTTCTCTCAGCGAGTGCTGCTTAAATTATGCTTTCTATGGTACCAACATTTAGATGCTGCAACCAAGTTCCTTCACACATAAACAAAACAAAACAAAACTGTACAAAGATTTTTTAGGCCTTGAGCATTTATATATATGTTGGTAAGTAAGCTCATTGACAAACCAACAACACATATTTTATGGCTACCTAGAATGAACCCCCAAGCTTGACAAAGAGCATGATGACTTTTTTTAAGGAACATTTATGAAAATAAAGAAGCTTGAAAATGTTTGGTTTGTCTGTTTCACAATCCATAGTTTAAGAGAAATTCATCATTCAAAAGCAACAAAAATACTAAAAGGAACATGAGTGGATTGCCTTCTGAATCAGAGCAGTCTAAGAAAAGGTAGTCCATAGGTATGCAACTTTTCCAAAATAATAACTAAGTTCAATACAATCAAAAAACAAATTTAATTAATTAATTAAAGTGTGATGGTACAAAGTCATTGTCAGTAATTTTGTTAGCCATGTCTAAGTTGTTGAGGATCATCTTGGCCATATTGTGTAACAACTATATCTATAACATTGTTTTGAAACACACAATTACTTATAAGAGAAATGATAAAGTTTTTATTAGCTTTATTAGTCAAATATTCATTAATTTAATATTGCTAAGCTGAACCTTAAAGATTGCTAGGTATTTTATAACAACACATACAAGTACGAGTTAGTCCATATATATATATATATATATAATAGAACATTGTTTGCCTGAAATAATAAAGCTAATCTATATAAGTAATAGATTATAACATAATACAATCTAATCTATTATAATAAAAATCTAGTTGGGTGTATATAGTATCTTTCTACATATTCACCACATGAGTACACTCAGCTAAATATATTATTGATGGTATGAACCCATAACATATATTGTATAGGTAATATCATAATACATAATGGTAACATGTAATATAGCATAACATAATGCATAATGACCATAATTAATGGGTTATCTTACACAAGAACATTGTATGTTTGTTTGTCCTAGACAAGACAAAGTATGGATGGAATCATGTGGAGTGTCTTGTGTGCTCTTGAAGATGATTCATAGTGACATCCTAAACCCTAAAAAGATAAAACAAAATGTTGATTACTTATACCAATTTGGGTGTACCTGGGGTACACAGACCATATTAATAAGGTATATTAGTTAGTCTTGTGATTTGATGGCTACTGAGTTAGACCAATGTTGTGAGATAGAATTCATTTATAAAAAACTGTTTTTTTTATAGAATTTTGATGATTTTTAATTTTTTTAATTCTTCAAAAGAAAAAATCATATTCTTTACATAAAACAATAACATATACAAAAAAAAATCAGCTCCTTCAACTTAGCTTATTCAATAGAACCAAACAAACAAGACTTTGACTATATTCGAAGTATTGAATTACATAGGAAATATGTAATTAAAGAAAGTTAGGCACTTCCTACTACCATTCAATTCATCCATCCACTCATTTGTCAAGAATACAAATTTCTATCCATGGCTTGTTTTCTTATTGTAGAATTTGGTCAGCATTTTTTGATTTCTATGTTATTCTTTTAAATCTATTTTAAAATTTTACATATTCGTAATGAAATATTTTTGACATAAATTTATTTTTGATCAAATTTTATCCTTTTCATTCTCCAATCAAGTAATACTCTATTTTAATTAATTTCTAGGATTTATAATTTTTAGAGTTGGTTCAATCTATAGGTAGTTAAATGCGGCATGTCTGCAGCTTTTTTTTTTTTTTTTTTTTTTTTGTTAAAGAACCAGCCTAATCCTACAATTATTTTACTTTGTCATGTCTCGAAAATCTACACATAGTAATTTCAAATGTAATTTGTTAACAAAGAAGACATGTATCATCCACCCTAACAAATACGTTCATTATTCAATTATTAAATCATTAAATCATTACAATAAAATTATTACGAAATTCTACAAACTTCCGTATTGTAAATAAAAGTTCCAAAGAGGTTTTGTTGTAGGCTTTAAAAAAACCCTAACTGAAACCCTAATCATCCTGCAATGGACTTGTGGCCCTGCAAAAACATTTCGCATCTGCAAACTGTTCGGTCTCCGATGTGTACTGAAATAGAGAGATGGAGGAGACCCAGCAATCGAATGAGCAAATGTGTGAAATCCAACAACATGCGGCGACTGGTTCCGCGCCTCCTCTAGCACAGAGCTCCATCGCCTTCCCCCGCCGACGATGTGGAATCTCGAGAGCTTTGTTGCAGGGAATGGGGATCTCAACCGTCGTTTTTTCGAACTGGGTCCACTCCTAAATGTCCGTGGGCCATAGTAAGTAACACGGTTAAGTTGAATCTGTTGCCGCACCCACGGACAGGGAGGGTTACGCTCCTCCTCTCTTCAAGTGGCGACATCGCCCAGCTCCGAAATAGAGCAAAAATTTATGTATCTCGACTTCCGAAAAGAGTCCCTCAAGTGCCTTCCATGGAATCTCCCTCCTGTTGCGAAGGCGAGATACGTGGACATCCAAACCAGCCGAATGTGGCAGGCGATCAGTCGGGAATGGTTCTGCTGCCCGTGTTTAGGAGCTCTCTCGCTGCCTCAGTAAATTTAGGGTGTAACATTCTTTCCGAACTGCACTGCATTTCCCTTGCTTCTCCGATGCTTCGCTTTCCGGGACGAGGCTTTGGATGGGCTCCAGAAGAGGCTTTGGTTCTCTTGAAACTGGGTTCCGACTTCCTTCTCCCATTATGCTCCACTTGTCCTGGACATCTATCTATCTATATACAAGACTACTTTTTATATACTTGTGTGTGTTCTTCCCGCTTCTATGAAGTGTTGGACGCTCTGTTTTGTTTGCCATATAATGAAGAAATGTCTCCTTCTGAATAATTACACACACAGTTAGATAGACAGATAAATGTATATAAATCAACACAGGCCAGAAAATGATGTGCTTAGAGAAATGAATATTGGCAATCAGTCCCGATTTCACGACAAGCTTTGTTTGCAAGATGGGTCGAACGGAGAATCTCACATGAGAATACCCAATTTCTTCGATGTCATCTCGAGTGACGAAAAACCTCTCCAGTCTGGTATGAATGACAAACATTTCCAGTGCAAAGTGCGCCAAGCTCATAATAGCCTGCAGCAAGACTCCACTTGCGGCCCAGTAGGCCTAGACCAAAAGGCCTTCATTCAACGAATCGTCTGTCCTCCTTGCTCACACTGCCCGGGTGTCGGATCTCATTATGCACAGGTGAACACTCTCTAAGTTAAGAAACTCGCCTCACTGGCCTCATTATCATTAATAGAAGAATATTGCCAAAAGGATGAACCAGTGGAGCCAGAATCTGCAACCTATTTGCAGCCCGAGTGGGAATTAACCCATGATTAGAAAGCCTCTAAATAAGCACACTGGGGCATCGATGTTCATCATTCTGCTCCAAACCAGGATCCCCCAAGTTCTCAACCAGTACCGCAGAATGAGAATCGTCTCTTTCTGACCGGGAAATTTAGCAAAATAATATAAAGTTTGTAAACCCCAGTCGCTGCATCGCACCTCTCTCCCATGAAAGAGGAGGAAGACGAGTTGCCTTTTGGATCATACCAAGGCAAAAACAGAAGGATTTTAAATCTACTCAGTGAAGACGATGTTTCATGAATTTATTTATTTGTGTGTTGTACGGTTATTTTTATTTGTTGTTTGATTTTTTATTTTTATTTTTATTCTATAAAAGGGAACATTTTCTGCATCAAGTGATTGGAAAGAAAAGAGCAAACATTGCAATTCGGGCCCTAAAATTGATGATTAGAGCAAGTCTAACATCCAAATCTCACATCTTACAGTTTTCTACTCTGTTCTTTTATTTCTCTATTAACGTGTGGGTAATTTGGTTGTTTTGTTGATTCCAAGGAGTCCACCAAATTCTCATGCCTATTATGTTTTTTTGGTATTTGTGTGTATTTTTTATCAATTTATGAAAGTTCTTACATTATTTTATTTTATTTTTTGATTAAAGAAAATAGTTTTTTTGTGTGTGAATTACTCTGCTCGTTTTTCTAAAAGAAAAAGACAGGTCTTTGAGTTCATATTTGTCCATGTGCAAGTTCCTTAAAGTACGTGCCAAATTGTTTCAAATCTTTTAAGATTATAGTAGAACATCTTTAGTAAAAAAAATACCTATTATCACAATTTCTTTTTTTCAATGGCTCTATATCATTATATGAATAGCTTTTTATAAAAGAGATGTGGCATAGTGTCAAATTTTCTATATTTTAATATTAAAAAAATCATAGAATACATTCAATGTCTTTTGACATATACAATCTTTTAGGGTATTAGGGTTTGATTGTATCCTCTAAGTACTAATGGCTGCTACACAATATCATATCAATCACATCAGTCTTGCTTCTTTGCATACCCTTAATAGAAACCATGAATGTACAACACTAAATGTACTCTAAATGTACAACTTCCATGAAGATTAGATTGTAATTTATTTAAAATCTTTTTTCATAGATTTTATAATAAGTATTAAAGAAATTAATAGGTCTCTAATAATTTAAGATTTTCCTATTCTTACATTTTTATGTATTAAAAGTGTTATTTTTATTTTATCTATTTATCATTTGATTTATTTTTTATTTATTTTTGCTAAAGTATCTCAAAGTAAGGCATTCTTCAGCATTGTTAAATAGTCTTCTATAAAAAAAATTTATCATATGTTTAAAATTTTACTTTTTGCTCTCTTTGGTCTCATTGCTTTCTTATCAGATATATCTTTAATTCCTTGATCTATTTTTCACAAATTTATAAGTTAAATAAAATTATAATTTATACAATTAATTATACTTTACAATTTGTTTTTGCTAATAACATACTTATAACTTTAATTTTACGTAATTAAATAGGTTCCAAAAAAACTTATAACTTAAAAAAACATTTATAATTTTTATAGTTATTTAATTAATTGAATTTTTATTAATAAATTTAAATAATTCGAATCTAAGATTTGGTCCTTAAATTGCTCAAAAATATATTCTAAAATATACAGAGATTTTGGTTCTACTTTTCCCTATTCTTACTTTGGTCTGTAATTTCCTCTAAGCTTGATGAATAGTTTAGTCATTGCACAATTTTTATCAAAAATTTATAAATGTTTTAAATCTACTTTAAATGTAACTGCTATTACAAGCCATAGACCATATTTTAAAGTCTAGAGGATAAGATAAAATGATTATTGTAATGATTAAATAAAAAAATTTATATAAACTTAAGTATATAAATAATCTATACATATTTTAATAATTAATTCTAAGTATATAGTTAAATACATAAATATATATATATATATATATATATATATATTGGTTTAATTATGATTTATATTTACTATTTAATTAAAAATCCATACTTTAGTTCTAACTAATATTTTTGGTTTTTAGAAGTATTTATCATGGCATATCTTCTTATAATGGTGCACAAACTAACCAGATTTGCTTATGAGCACAATAACTTAGCATTAATAAAATAAAGAGGTATATTACATCCAAATTAAATGTTCAACTAGCAAGACCTATAGGTAAGCCCTTCTAACAAAGGATTTGTTATTTTTATTCTAAAGTAGGACATTAGAATAAAATCATCAAAATTTGTGTCCTACAATAAAAAAGTTATTTATTTATTATATAAAAGTCATAGTTATAATATGGCAATGAATAGATGGCATAAAATAGTTATTAAGTTTTAGATGCAAAACTGTGCCTCTTGTATAGCTCTATTCACATTCACATCCATTTGTGCTCTATATTAATTCTAATATAAACCAAGTATGATAAATTGTCTCTTTTATTATACAATGCAGGACAAAGTTTCTAATGTCTTACATTAGAAGGGCCTGCTTGTAGGTATATCTTAAGATAAAAGAGACTATACCAGTTTATTAAAAGTAATAATACTAAATAATAATAAACCAAAATCAAGTACCACATTACTTAGCAAATGAAATAACATTAAAATGGAAAAATGCATAATAGGATTTAAGAATGGAATAATCATTAGATGCAACATTAATTTTTATTTATTTATAACAGGTTAGTAATTCACAACCCAATCAAGATAAACATATAACTAATCAGGTAGTAAGATACTTCAAGAGTAACCTTAAAAATGCAATTGTAAGATTTTGAACACTAATGTATTCTAACTTCCCTAATCAGTGCAGTAACAACAACAAAGTGCATACCAAACAAACAGCGACAGCAACAACAAAACAAAACAAACTTATATTCCATGTTAAAATGTCAAGGTTTTCGGGGATGGGGGGACCAGCTCAAGAAAGCTGAGCTCGCCTTGTTGTCCTCACCGTGTCCAAGGTTCCTCAGACTCCGTTTTCCTCGGAGCAAAAGTGTCGGCACAGCATCTGGGAAACTCTAACAGGGAAGGGAGAAAGCACAGTCAGTAGCAGCAACAACCCACCCACCCACCCATTCATTAATTGCATCTGTTGGTTGGGTCTGTGGCATCACGGTGAAGGGTCACAATGGCCCTTGTCCTCCTCATCTCTAGGATTGACGCTGCTGTGACGCTGTGACTTGGCAGCAAGCAAGCATGAATATTAGAAATATGCAACTTTGCAAATGAAGCAGTGGAATCTAGGGACTCGGGTTGCGGTGATTGGGTGCCTGCATTAGAATCTTCAGCTTTCTCGCTGGAAAGTGGTCCAGCTTTACGATGCTGCGACTCAGGGGGAGCACAGTGCCACAGTGGAACTCTTAAACTGAGATCATACAGTGGCACGCTGAACCAGAATAATGCACAACTTCGGAACTCCATCACATGGCGAGAGAATCATACCCTTGGAGAGGTTTGGCTGGGAGGATGCCTATTGGCCCCCATGCTTGTTGAAACAAAGCCACAGACATGGTTGGGTGGGAGAATCGAATCGTTGTCATGGTTCTCGCGCGTGCATCACCCGGTGGATCCTACCTTAGAACAAAAGTGCACTGTGGCTGATGCACGTATTTTGGACTAGAACACCTGCACCTGCAGGTTTTGAATCAGAGGTGAAGTGCAATGAACTGCGACTGTAGAGGAGTGTGGAGAGCAAGGCTAGGTTGGGTTGCTCACCACGAGATTCGCCTCCTGGGTCACATGGCGGATCAATGAACAGGAGGTCCTTCGACAGTTACCACTGCATCCTCTCCTCTTGGCAAGCAAATGCCAAACATGATGTACAAGACAGAAAAATGAGCAGCTGCAAGAAAATATTGCATCAAAAACCAAGTTGAAAGCACTTAAAACACCTGTTCACCATTTACTACAGACATTACTTGTTTGGCATCGATATGCGTAAACGCTCTGTGTGTGTCTTCCGTCCAAGTGGGATGCGAAGGATTCTCCTGAGTATGAAGAATCCTCAGCCATGACAAGGTTCGAAATCTTCGAAATCCAAGTGTGAGCACGATGCTTTCAATAAATTCAAAGGAACTGGCTGAAGCGTTCCAAATGGGATCGGTCATTAAGTTTTTGGAAGATTGTCCGCAAGGTTCTAATGTCGTACCAATCAAGCTGGACCTTGCATAAAAAGCTTGTAAGGCTGAACTTCCAGTCTTTGCTGAATCTCGTGCGTTTGCAATCTCAGCGTTAGGTGGTTCCGGCTTGGCTTCTACATCACCTGAATCCAGCCCCAAATCATGAGTTCCATGCTAAACCAGAATTTTGTCGGGTCTCGAGAAAACGTCATTCAGATATGCAGGAATAAGATTATTCTTGATTTCTCATCCCTCCTATTATCACAAATATTATATTAGAACAGTCAGCCAAACCAGAAGATTGTTTGTTTGTGTGTTTGTGTGTATTTTTTATTTTGATTTTGTTTTGTTATTTTTGTTATCATTATTATTCTTAAACAGAAGAGGGTCGACTTCCTTGCTATTATTATGAGGAAAATTACATCCAGTCACTGCAGGCAGGCGTAGTTACTGAGTTATTGAGAGTATTGAGATGAGTTTTAAGCTCAGTGTTGTTTCATGTGATATAGGAGCTACAAATTATATAAGGTACATGATCTATCAAATTTACTAAGTGGTATATCACACTTGTGTGGAGCTTTAATCATTTCTTGCTAAGCTTATGCTCATTACAAATCAAAAGATGTAACACATTGTGCAAGTTTTTTATGATAAGGATGACATTGGCATAATAACAAATAAGTTTATTTTGAAAGATTTTTATAATCCAAATAAAAAATCTTATAACAAGTGGCTCTACTTTCTTAACAAAATGAAAGAAAGCAAGAGGTTGGCATTAAAATGGTTTGTTGAAGTCAAGGGCTAGCCATGGTGGATGCACAAGGGATAAGAAGTGCAACTTATTAAGGAGAAACTTGCACCATATTTACAAAACTAATGGATGATTATCATTTTTAATTTAAATTATATATATATATATATATATATATATATAATTAGTTTTATTTTTATTTTAGCTTCATCTTTTTATATATTAATATTTTATTTTATTTTAATATTTGATTCAACCAATAGAATTTTAATTTTTAAGATTTAGGTGCATATTCTAAAAGTTTATAGTAAAAGTTATATATATATATATATATATATATATATGTGTGTATGTATATTTATGAAAAAAATTCTAATTCACATAAGTTAAAAATAATATAGTCTAATTTTGTTAA